TACGAAATGAAGGTCCCTCTAACAATCTTATCTCAGGAGATTCATCGAAACCCAGTTTTTCTTCGTATCTACAAATAATTTTAATTGAGGTATCTTTTCTTGAAGCTGAATTATCCCTTTGCAACTTTGTACTTTGAGCCATGACATTATAAGTGTTCATTTGTTTACCCACCAAGTGATGTTTGTCTATTTGACAGTGATGCTCTCACCAGCCCAAGCGTCATTCAGACACTTGTTTGCTGAAGGCGACTCTGTACCGAATGCAACCCCACGGAGACATCTTTGGCGATAAGATATCTCCTCCTAACTGATGCACAGGCAGCACCAATCGGATGCGTTCGTAATCGAAGTAAGGTTGCTTCCAGTTCAGTCTTTTGGTATTGCCTAATATGCAAGATGCTTGAGATGCTCAAGTGAACCATGGTAACAATCGCGAATGTCTCAATTGCTTGGCAACCAAAATTCTCATCCCCTGTCTGGAAGTCTGCCTGCTTGCGATTGATTATGATGCCAGTGGAATCGGACTTGATTGAGTGAAGACGCCTAGCAAATCAGTTACATGGCAAGTTTCTCGGTGGGCAAGAGAACAGACCGACGAGCCAGTCGGCTGGCCAGAGCAAAAGGGAGGAAGTGATGTGGAATGGGGCGTAGGCTAGTTTGGGGTCACTGTCGCGTCGCCTCAAGGTGGCTTCCATAATCGGATGGAGCGCCCTTTTCGGGTCCCTCTAGTTCCACTTCGGATGAACCGGTCTTGTTCTTTTTTCGCCACACTATTTGACAGCATCATAGTCTTTGTATTTTTTTCCCTTTTCCTGTACGTGGACAAAAATAGACACGAGCATGACCATCTTCCTCCAGTTCGCCCATTAACTTACCTTTATCTCTTGCCCCGAAAGTCTGTTGGTCACGGTAACTTTCGCCCAGACACAGTCCCTCATTTACTCAACTCCCATTCACTTGACTCGGCTGTCTTGCCTATTGTGAGTGGGCTCTGTCTAACCCAATGCATTCACTTAATCGCAGGCTTCTTTTACTTTTTCTTCTTATTCTTCTTCTTATTCTTCTTCTTATTCTTCTTCTTCTTTTTCTTCTTCTCTCTGTCACTCTCTCACATTCTATGCAATTCTTGCTTATTCTCTCACACGCAGACCTTGAATTCGTGCCCGTGCCCACAGTCACATGCGCACAAGACAACAGACTAGCGGATAATCGACGGACAGATTTGCTTCTCTCCAGACCGCTGCCAATACCACCACCATCATCACAACCACCAGACAGGCAAGGCAAACGGCCCGTCCAGCTTGTTCTGAGGCCTCCCCATCATCACGCAATCCGGACTTGCCAATCTGGTGCTTTAGACCGGCCCATTAACTCTCTACTTTACCCGACCAGGGAAGGTCTGCAATTATACGACAAAAGCCATTTCGTTCCGGATGCCTTAGACCCGCCCCCTACCCAGCATTCCCACCGATGCGCCGGCCTAACCCCTTCTCTGCTGGTGGCCTCCCCAACATCATGCATCTTCGTTTAATTATCTCAGTCTTTGCAATTCGCCTCTGTATAGTCCCGTGGGCAGGGTTGTCAACGTCTACACGAAAGTGACTGTTGTCGTCGAAATGGTGGTCGATACGACTAAATCTCTATCCTCGCCCCCTCGTTAATACCACGCGCAGTAGTACAACTTACACAACGATACCAAACAACCACAACAATATCGATACTACGTAGGCTTGTGGGAAAACTGGGTTTCGAAGAATCCTTTAATAGGTTGAGATTGGAGTACCTTTCATTCAGTTTGAAGCGGCGAGTGCAAGGGTTTCATAGGTTGGTTTCTCCGGAGGTTATGGGGTGTAGTTGCCTTGGAGGTGTGGTTGTAGATTTGTGTGAGAAGGTCCTCGATAGAGGTCGCAGGGCGGTACGCTGAGGACATATTCTCACAAATCTACAACCACAGCTCCAAGGCAACTACACCTCACAAACTTCGGAGGAACCAACCTATGAATCCCTTGCACTCGCCTCTTCAAACTAAATGAAAGGTACTCCAACAATATCGATACTGAGGATATGAAGACCAGGCTGTTGTGACCTCTGGTATGGTTACAGTCTCCTTTCGATTTATAGAAGTGGGTTGACCTCGTTGTCGCAACTTGGTCTTGTTGTCAGGGCGACTCAGTAGAGCGCATCTAGTCTGAAGTCGTCTGCCATGGTAGTTTTCATGATTCCCAACATCAAACAGTGGACTTGGTACATTATCAAACGTTTCTCCGGCATCAGAGTCGGCATCATTAGTGAGTTTTGCCATTCGCCGCACCAAACTACGATCTCGTCAAAGAGACACGTGAAGTCTCATAAGCATTTCTTAAGGAGACTCAAATTTGCAATCCACTTTTGTGGAAAATCACTTTAGAGAGTCAAGTTTAAGTGAAATTCAGTGGATTGATGAGGCCTAGTCATATAATTGTGAGAAAATTCATAATCAGTAGTCCGTCATGTTGACTACAGTTCTTATTCATACTCTTTTAGTCTCGAAAATCGACTCATTACAAACACAAGCCATGTTGTCGAGTGTAATGGCAAACACAAGTTTGAG